CTCTGGGTCCTTTCCTCCTGCAGACCAAAACCTTTCATGTTAGGTTCATTGGTAACTCGATGGTCCCTGGGTGTGATTGGTTGTCTCGCTTGTCTCTGTGTGTCCCTGTGGTGGACTTGTAGACTGTCCAGGGTGTCCCCCACCTCCGGAAATAGACCCCACCTTCCCACGACCTAGAAAAGATAAAGCAGGTCTCATTCTGCACATGCAGCTACAAAATGTTTTAAAAAGTCTCTCGTCTCACTTCAGCTGCTTCTGTGTGGTCGTGCTAAGCTAACATTAGCTTACTTCTCAGTTTTGATGATGATGCGTCACACTTTTTCATTGTTTCTTGTGTTTTTATGTTTTTATTTTATCATGCTTTTACCAGTAATTACAGTGTTTTTTTTTATTTTCTTTTTACTGCCTTGATCTTATTGTTAAGCACTTGGGTAACGGCTGCTGTTTTAAATGTGCTTTATAAATACATTTGACATGACTTGTTGCTGCAGCCAATCACGCCAGCAGATATTACTAAAATCTTGTTTAAGGAAATTGTTTTGCTATAAACATTGTGTTAATCATATGTGCACCAAACTTTGCCTCGGCTCTCTGTTGCGTGCCCCGCTCCCCTCACCCCTTCCACACGATGTATACTTTAATGTTCAAGGTTTGATATTTGCAGTCCAATATGGTCAGATTAATATCGAGTGAGGACTTCTGTGTTTTTTTCATCTTCACTTCATCCTCTTGATTGATCATATCCTCATTTCTTATCCCCTCTAGTCTCATCTAGACGCTGCTGTCGGCATGTGCAGGGTAACCAAACACTATTGTCAGTAATCTAAGTCATGACGCTGCAAAGTCCTTCGTGGACATTGGCTGGTTTCTATGGTTACCGTCAACAGTCTGGACTTTCAAGTGTTCGTTACGTTATACCTCGGAGCGCACTGGTCAGGGTGGTGGTCGTCTGCGGTCCTGTCTGTTACAGCTGCTTGCAGAGGGAAACTTCATCCTGTGGTCAGACAGGTGGCTGATGCACTTTATGATCCAGTTTAGATGCTACAAAACATTTTGTGGGAACTTTAAAAATCATGCTTTATGTTGGGAAGAGCTTTGCTGTGAACAGTTTTTCCTCCGCTACTAAGAAACTTTATCAGAGTATACCGTCAAAAAGGCTGCAAAGTTGGTTGTTGAGCCTCAGAAGAACCTCCTCATGAAGAGGTTGTCACCGTTGATTATAATTCCAAAGAATGGTTGTGAATAAGAGTAAGCATGCAGCCTGTGACACGGTGACATAATGGCTTTTTGTGCTTGTGAATAGAGGTTCAGAGTGACGTTGGTACTACCCACTCCATATTCGTGACGGCCGCGCATACAATGTGGAGATATGAAAGGGTTTTATCACAGGAAGCAGAGGCTGAAACTACTGAAATTTAAAAGCATATCGGCACCAATACTGGGGCATCGTTTATGTTTAGCATTTAAATAAACTAATATAAAATAACTTAATACTTTTAAATGTTAGGTTAGTTTTCTTGTAGAAACGAGTGAGACTCGGAGTAAATAAATAAGTGCTGAAGAAAATGGTAACCCCCTTTTTTTTGTCAAGGTGTGGGTGATATCGTCTGTGAAACATTGAGATCAGTGAAGTTTCCCCCGTTTTTATGGACAAAAAATTATATACTGTACATTGTTGTTTTCATAACCATAGCTTTCCCTCATCAAAATGTGTTCCATTTTAATTTTTTTTAAATCATTTCAATCTAACAGTGTAGAAAAAAATAATGGATTAATTTGCGTTACAAAGTTCCTGTGCAAATCTTTTGTCGTCTCCTGTGACGAAACGAAGAGCGGGAATTGGAAAAACCCTCCGTTCATCCATGCATGTTGTGAGCATAACTTGACAAATAAATAAAGGACTGACTTCCATTTTGATGGGAGGCTGCATCTAGGCATAAGAAATGACTATGGAAAATTGGGTTGCCACATTAAAATCCAAGATGGCTACCACCATCTTCTTCTTCTTTCAGCTTTTCCCTCTTCAGGGGATGCTACAGTGAGTCCTCCTCCATCTCACACTGTCCTCTGCATCCTCTCTCCAACTACCTCCCATGTCCTCTCTAACTGCATCCATACATTATATCTCCTCTTTGTCTTTTTCTTGGCGGTTGCATTTCTAACGTCCTTCTACCAATATACCCACTGTCCCTCCTCTGGACATGTCCAAACCATCTCAGTCTGGTCTCTCTAACTTTATCTCCCAGTTGTTCAACCTGTGCTGTACCTCTGATGATCTCATTTCTAATCTTATCCATCCTTGTCACTCCTAAGGAGAACCTCAAAATCTTCATTTCTGCCTCTTCCAGTTCTCGGGACACTAAAGTCCCAAGTTCGATCCCCAGCCATTCCCACATCTCGTGGTGTCTCTGAGCAAGACACCTAATCCCGAATTGCTCCCCAGGCGCTTGCATTGCTGCCCACTGCTCCACCTAGGTGTATCCCAGGTGTGATGGGTTAAATGCAGAGAGCCAATTTCATCTGTGTATGGGAACATACAATGATGACAACACATAGCACTTTATTATTTATTATTAAGTAGCCTACTAGAAGTCCTGCACCTTTGTGACCTCTGCTCTTTGTAGCCTCACTGTTCTACCGGCCTCCCTCTCATTCACACACATGTTCTCTGTCTTACAATGGCTGACTTTCATTCCTCTTCTTTCAAGATGGCCACCACCATATTTATATGTAATCTGACAACCTCAATCATTTGAAGAAACTATGCTGTTTATTAGTTTTTAAGTTGCTTAACAATGGACAGTTTGATGCAGGGGGACAACCTGCTCCTCAACACCTCAAAGACTAAGGAGCTGATCATATGACTTCAGGAAAAATAAAATGGCAGTTCCACCTCTGATTATAAGCAGAGACAATGTGGAGTGACTACAGTACTGTTTCCTGGGAGTCCATATTGAGGGGAATCTGACCTGGAGCATGAACACCTCTTGAGTTGCTGAAAAAGGCCCAGCAGAGACTATACTTCTTGAGAGTGCTCAGGAGGAACAATACCACCCAGAGACTGCTGGTGTCTTTCTACCGATGGTCCACAGAGAGCATCTTAACAAATTGCATCACTGTGTGGTATCTTAGCTGCATAGTGGCTCAGAGGAAAGCGCTCTAGAGAGTATATCAACACAGCCCAGAAGATCATGGGCTGCCCTCTTCTCTCACTGGAAGATCTAGAGTTCCTGCTGCATGGAAAAAGCCCACAACATTTTAAAGGGCACGTCTCATTCTGAATATGATCTGTTTGAACTGTTACCATCAGGGAAAATGTTTAATTTAGATCAATCAAGACGAGGACAAACAGATTTAAAAATAGTTTTTATCTGTCAGCTGTTACTGAATTTAACAACAATTGTAGTAATAACTGAACAAGTGCAATAAGGGACAAATAGTGTAATATCAATCTGCTATATATATATATATATATATATGTATATATATATGTATATATATATATATGTAAAATATATATATGTAAAATATATATATGTAAAATATATATATATATAATACTCTTTGTACTTTTGCTCTGGGAAGCAGGCCTTTATGCCAATAAAGGTCTGTTCTATTTTTAACTTAAAAGTGTGGTTTCCTCAAATGATTTGGGTGGCTGTACATTTATCTATGGTGGCCAAGTCCACCATTGGCCACCCCCTGGCTCTGCCTCTGCATCTGGTGGTGCATAAAGCTGCTCTCTCCACTCATCAGAGACAGTCACTCTGTTCTGCCACGGACAAGCAAAAAAAAAAAAAAAAATCTACTTTATGGGCAGCACCGTGGCACAGTTGGTAGATCTGCCGCCTCTCAGTGAGCAGGTTGCCCCAGTTCAAATCCTGATTGGGGGCCTTTCTGGGTGGAGTTTGCATGTTCTCTCTGTGCATGCGTGGGTTTTTTCCGGGTACTCCGTTTTCCTCCCACAGACCAAAAACATGCATGTTAGGCTGATTGGTAACTCTAAATTGTCTCTAGGTGTGAGTGAGAGAGTGAATGGTTGTTTGTCTCTATGTGTCCCTGTGATGGACTGGAGACCTGTCCAGCATGTCCCCCAACTCTTGCACAGTGACTGCTGGACATGGGCACCAGTGACTCCCACGACCTGAAAAAGAAGAAGTGGGTAAATGAAAATGGCTGGATGGATGAATGGATGGATACTGCTTCTCTGCAGTGTACTTCGTACCTTCTTGAATATCTTTCACCAAAACATTAAGGTTTATTTGCAGTCCCTGTTCAATTCCAGTTCAGAAAAACACTAATTTAAGAAACTAGAAAATTTCACTTTTCAAACCCCTCAGAATGGGTGGGGCAGGTTGGGGGTGGGGGGGACAACATTGGAGTACAGCTTGTTAGGTCAGTAATGTAGTCACACTGTTCTCTCCATACAGTGCCTTGCAAACTTTTCAGTTTTTTATTTGTTAAAAAAGTTTGACACATCCAATAAATTTCATTCCACTTCATGATTGTGTCCCACTTGTTGTTGATTCTTCACAAAAAAATTAAATTTTTATATCTTTATGTTTGAAGCCTGAAATGTGGCAAAAGTTTGAAAAGTTCAAGGGGGCCGAATACTTTCGCAAGGCACTGTAACTCCTCAGAAGGGACTCAACTAAACTTTTAATCATTCATTGATGTAGAAATTGTTAAACAAATAAATTGTTACCAAGAATCATAAAAATAAATGTCATGTTTTGACAACTGTTATGGCCTTAATATTTTATGTAACAGATTTTTGTTGAATTAAGTACATAAATGTTTGGCAGTCTGATCTAAGGCACCGCACCAGAACCTTTATGTATCTAATCACATTTGTGGAGCTTTGTTTGATGTGCGAAATGATGTATTCAACTTTTATTTTACATTTTTGCATCTTTTTGGACCGTCGCCTATTCCATTGTTGATGAATTTGCTCTGAAATATCACCTGGTTTATTTATCCAACATTTATTATCGTTGCAGCCATGTTGCTCCCATCGTCTCTGCTGCTTCTTCTTGGACTCTTCACCTGGAGCCCCAGTGCAACATGGGCCGCTAAAGTGATTGTGGTCCCACCCATCATGTTCGAGTCACACCTCTACATCTTCAAAACGCTGGCCACAGCGCTACATCAGGAGGGCCATGAAAGCCATTTTTTAGTGTCAGAGGGTCGTGAGGTCCCTCCATCTCCTCACTACCACTTACAGCACTACCCAGGGATCTTTAACAGCAGCACAGCTGACAACTTCCTCCAATCCAAAGTCAGCAACATCTTCTCAGGTCGCCTGACATTTCTAGAACTATTTGACATTCTCGACCACTACTCTCAGAACTGCGATGCCGTTGTTGGCAACGTTGAAGTGATGAACCGCCTGAAGGAAGCCAAGTTCGACCTGCTGCTAGTGGACCCCAATGAAATGTGTGGGTTTGTGATTGCTCACATCCTGAATGTGCAATATGCTGTGTTCAGCACAGGCTTGTGGTACCCGGCAGAAGTCGGTGCCCCGGCACCATTATCATACGTCCCAGAGTTCAACTCGCTGCTGACAGATCGCATGTCTTTAATGGAAAGGATTGTGAACACCGCTGTCTACCTGGTGCAGCGGTTTGGAGTCCATTTCATCGTGTTGCCCAAATACGACAGGATTATGAAGAAACACGGAGTGACGCCTCAGGTGGCCATGGCTGACTTGGTGCAGGGGAGCAGGCTGTGGATGCTGTGCACGGACATGGCTCTGGAGTTCCCCAGGCCCACCCTTCCACATGTGGTCTACATCGGAGGCATCCTCACTAAGCCCCCCAGCCCCCTACCACAGGTCAGTACCAACAGCTGGACCTGCATGGTGTCATGTAAAAGTGTGTGTGTTCTTTATTGAAAACAGCTATTACAAGTTCTGAAGCTGCTGGACGTATACTTAAAGCATTCTAAAGCAAACCGAGTTCACAGATGGAGATTGTTTTATTTGTTATATTACACAAACCAATATTTAAGACAGTTGTGGAGTCAAGATGGCAACACTTGTCCAGGGGCAGACATGAGGAACCTTTTTCAGGTTGTTTAGTGGAAAACCTCAGGACAGAATCTGGTTGTTGGTTGTCCACAACCTTTACAATAAAAAAAGCAAAAAATCTCAAGGAATAATGTAATTTAACAAGTATATTTCAATATATACAAAGTTCACTATATTCTAATGGAATATACTGTGTACATGACCTTAGAAAAAGTACACAGTATACTGTGTACATGACCTTAGTACAAATACACAGTATACTGTGTACATGATCTTAGTTAAAGTACACAGTATACTATGTACATGACCTTAGTACAAATACACAGTATGCTGTGTACATGACCTTAGTAAAAGTACACAGTGTATTGTGTACATGATCTTAGTACAAGTATACAATAGATTGAGTACATGACCTTATTATTTATTAACCTTTATTTAACCAGGCAAATCCCATTGAGATCACAGATCTCTTTTGCAAGGGAGGCCTGGGCCTGAAGGCAGCCTAACATGCATGTTTTTTGTTTGTGGGAAGAAACCGGAGTACCCGGAGAAAACCTATGCAAGCACGAGAAAAACATGCAAACTCCACACAGAAAGACCCGAGGTCCAAACAGGGATTGAACCTAGGACCTTCTTACTGTGAGACAACAGTCCTAACCACTGAGCCGTCATGCTGGCACCTTAGTAAAAGTACACAGAATACTGTGTACATGATCTTAGTAAAAGTACACGGTACACTGTGTGCATGACCTTATTAAAAGTACACAATATACTGTGTACATGACCTTAGTAAAAGTCTACAGTATACTGTGTACACGACCTTAGTAAAAGTACACAGTATAGTGTTTCTAATGAAGCTCCATCCAGACCAACATCGTTTTGCAGGAAGAGACGGTTTGAACAACTTTTCTTTAGTGAACAACTTTTCGTTAGTTTACTTTTATGTCATTTCAGTGTTTTCAATTGAGGATTGTCAGATATCCATCCATTATCTTTACCCGCTTCTTCCATTTTGGGTCAGGGGGTCACCAGTGCTGATGTCCAGCCCTCACTGTTTGAGGGGTGGGGTACACCCTGGACAGGTCTCCAGTCCATCACAGGGACACATAGAGACAAACGAGACAAACAACCATTCACTCTCTCACTCACACCTAGGGACAATTTAGAGTTACCAATCAGCCTAATCTGCATGTTTTTGGTCTGTGGGAGGAAACCGGAGTACCCGGAGAAAATCTACACATGCACAGAGGGAACATGCAAACTCCACCCAGAAAGGCCGCCGGACTGGAATTTGAGCCAGGGTAACCTTCTTGCTGAGAGGCGGCAGCTGTACCAGTTGCGCCACCATGGTGCCGGTTGTCGGATATATTTTAATAAATTAAAGCACAGTAAGTCCTTTGCAGAGTATAAATTAACTTCATAATACTTTTAAATTTCCAGACTGAGATTTCTCCCTTTTAAAATTATTTAATTCTATGGGATTATATTTTCAGGCTTTCAGCTCATGTAGTCATTTAATACTATGAAAATAAATAAAATTTATCAATATACAGTATACAATATATAAAATATAAATATTAAATGATTAAATGAGCTGAAATGTATTAAATAACTACATTTCAGATCATGTAGTCATTTAATACTTTTTATCTATCATATTTGATTAGTGGGCAGCACGGTGGCGCAACTGGTAGAGCTGCTGCCTCTCAGCGAGCAGGTCCTTGGTTCAAACCCCGGTCCAGGGACCTTTCTGGGTGGAGTTTGCATGTTCTCTCCGTGCATGCGTGGGTTTTCTCCGGGTACTCCGGTTTCCTCCCACAGACCAAAAACATGCATGTTGATTGCAGGCTGATTGGTAACTCTAAATTGTCCCTAGGTGTGAGTGAGAGAGTGAATGGTTGTTTGTCTCGTTTGTCTCCATGTGTCCTTGTGATGGACTTGCGACCCATCCAGGGTGTACTCCGCCCCTCGCACAGTGATTGCTGGATATGGGCACCAGCAACCCCCGTGACCCAAAATGGAAGAAGCGGGTAAAGATAATGGATGGATATTTGATTAGTTATTAAATTTATTACAGTACCATACCATTCCATAGATATGTATACCATACCTCCCAGTATGCTTCAAAATATGTTCAAGTTTAGCTCATCTGAATAGACACATCTTGTTTTGTTTAAACACCATGTAAAATGGAATTTAGCAGAATAATATGATAAACTACACCTGAAACTGACTCTTAGGGAGAACTTCCTGCGTTCAAGGTAAAAATTTAAAGTTAAACAGAGACACACATTTTTAAACCAGCCACTAGGGAGCACAAGCCAGTGTATCTCTTGTGCCGGTCCCAAGCCCGGGTAAATGGTGAGGGTTGTGTCAGGAAGGGCATTCAATGTAAAAACACTTTTGCCAAAACTAATATGCAAGTTCATCCAAGTGACTCCAAACCAGATCGGTTGACGTCCGGGTTAACACCGACCATCACCGGTGCTGTTGACAAACGGTGCAGGAGGTAATTGTGCTTCTGTTAGTCAAAGACCTCAAGGATGAAAATGTCCTAATTCTAACCCAGGGGAGCAGTTGGGGATTAGGTGTCTTGCTCAGGGACACCACGATATGTGGGCATGGCGGGGAGTCGAAGCATGACTTTCTGGTCCCAAGTCAGCTGCCCTAGGTCTACACCATCTCTGTCCCTGAGAGACCAATTGGAAGGGCAGCAATGCTCGCAGCATTGGGGCAAGGTTAGAACAGTTTTACCATGGTGTGGATGGAAAGAGAAATGGAGTAGGGGTGGTCCTGAAGGAGGAGTTGGCAAAGAAGTAATAGAGGTGAAAATTGTGAGATGGGTGATGTGTCTGAAAGTAGCAGTAGAAAGAATGTTGTCAGTGGTTATGCTCCACAGGTTAGATGCAACTTAGGAGAAATGTATTTTGGAAGGATCTAAATGAAGTGAAAAGAGTATTCCCAGGGAGGAGAGAGTGGTGATTGGAGCAGACCTGAATGGACATTCAGGTGAAGAAAACAGAAGGGATGAGGAAGTGATGGGCAGGTTTGGTGTCAAAGAAAGAAACCAGGAAGGACAGATGGGGGTGGATTTTGCAAAGAGAATGGAAATGGCTGTAGTCAACACTTATTTCCAAAAGTGGGAGGAACATAGAGTGAACTATGAGTGGAGGAAGGAGTACACAGGTAAACTACATTCTGTGTAGAAGAGGAAACTGAGAATGGGGACTGTAAGGTTGTGGCAGGGAAGAACGTGGCCAGACCGCATCGGGTGGCTATGTGTAGAATGACTGTTGCTGTGAAGAAGAGAAAAAGACTAAAAAATCAGAGAAGAAGACCAAATGGTGGAAGCTGAAAAATGAAGAATGTTGTGAAAAATTCAGAGAGGAGCTGTTAAAGGTGCTGGGTGGTAAGAAAGAGCATTCAGATGGCTGAGCTACTACAGCAATAATAATTAGAGAGACAGGTAGGAAGGTAGTTAGAGTCAGAGTCAGAGAGATATTTGTCATACACACCACATGTGATACATGAGGTGGGACGAAATATGTACATAGGGTCCCAGTTACAGCCAAAAAAACACAAATTGCAAAAGAAAAAACACTAGCAAGATCCGAGTCACGAACCAAGAATATACTACATTCACTAAACTAAGAATACACTAAGCACTAATGGTACAACAACAATGCACCAAAACAACAGCAAGCATGAACATGAGTCCGTATGAGTAGACAAGGACTAATGAACACAGCAACATGAAATAATCAGCAGCATGAGATCAGCATCATGGATAGTCAACAGCACACACCAACAACCAAGTGTCACCACACAACCTTCACAGAGAAAAGATGATAAGGAAACCTGGTGGTAGAATAGGGAAGTGCAAGAATCTATTCAAAGAAAGAGGTTGGCCAAGAAGAAATATGACAGTGACAGGACTGAAGAGAGGACGGGAATATAAGGAGATGGGACGTAGAGCAAAGACGGAGGTAGCTAAGGCAAAGCAGAAGGTGTATGATGAGTTGTATGGGAGACTGGACACTAGCCGCGAAGGACTTGTACCGATTAGCAAGACAGAGAGATCAGGCTGGAAAGGATGTGCAACAGGTTAGGCTTGTTAAAGAAAGGAATAGTAACGTTCTAACAAGTGAGGAGAGTGTGATGGGAAGATGGAAGGAGTACTTTGAAGAGCTAATGAATGATGACAATGAAAGAAGAGTAGAGGTCATAAAAGCTGTAGACAAGGAAGTGGGAAAGATTAGTGAGGGTGAAGTTCAGAAAGCTTTGAAAAGAATGAAGAAAGGAAAGGTAGTATGACCTGATGAGAAACCAGTGGAGGTTTGGAAATGTCTTGAAGAGATGGCAATCAGGCTTTTGACTGAAATATTTAATGAAATATTTGAGGGCGAGAAAATGCCTGAGGAATAGAGAAGTGTGCTGGTGCCCATTTTTAAGGACAAAGGTGATGTACAGAGTTGTTGCAACTACAGGGGAATTAAGTTGATGAGCCACACAATGAAGATTTGCGAGAGAGTTGTGGAAGCAAGACTTAGACGAGATGTGACTATCTGTGAGCAGCAGTATGGTGAAAAAGTATATGACAGGGTGCCAAGGGAGGAGGTGTGGTATTGCATCAGGAAGTCTGGAGTGGCAGAGAAGTACGTTGGACTGGTACAGGACATGTATGAGGACAGCAGGACAGTGGTGAGATGTGCTGTAGGAGTGACAGATAGCTTCAAGGTAGAGGTGGGATTGTATCAAGGATTGGCTCTGAGCCCCTTCTTGTTTGATCTGGTGATGGACCGACTAACAGGCAGGAATCCCTGTACACTATGGTGTTTGCAGATGATGTGATCTGTGGTGAGAGCAGGGAACAGGTGGAAGAGAACTTGGAGAGGTGGAGGTATACACTTGAAAGAAGAGGAATAAACTATGATAAATAGACAGGCTGAGCATGCTCCCACGACATTGCTCTCTCTCTGACCCGGAGCAGGTTGCACATGTCTGTACAGTGATGGCGATGCTCCGAACAATTCTCTGAACCCATTAACATTTAATACAGAGTTAGATTTTCATAGACATGTACAAAAGTCCTGGGGAGGTTGGGGTGTCCTCCTTAGAAAGTAGTCCGGGAAACATGGATCGGCGCGCTCACCTGAAGTGTGTCTCTGAGTCAAAACACTGAGATCACCTGCCATGTATCGAACAAAACGACCTGTCCTGCTCTGCTCTGATTGGCTCAAACTGTGGCTCTGGTTCTCTTTATTTGTTGAAAGTAGTGTCAGTTTAATCCCTGTATCATATTAGATTGGATGTCTTTTTAAAAAATACCACAACAAAACATGTTTTCTTTTTCTTTCTTTTCATTTGTACAGATGAGGGCAACACATCGTGGCGCCAGAGAACTTTAATCCTTGTTTATTTCACTTTGTTGTCCACCGGACAACCCCGAGGAGAGGTCTAGTTGTCTGAGACAAAAATAGGTTGTCTTGGACAAATGGAAACCACTCATGTTGACCTCTGTTGACTATGTTGTTATTAGCAGTAGACTAATTGATCAATCTGCCATTTAATTAGGATTTTTTCTTTTTAAACCACATTTTATGTAAAGGCATCAGCCATGCCTTTACATATTCGGTGTGTGAATAGCAGACTATGTATTTTTCTTCACAACACTAGCAGACTTTAAAAATAAGTTCATCATAATATTAGGCTTACCTTTTGATGCTTCATTATATTTATATTATAATTATTGTTTTTATATTAATATTGACTTAATAAATTTGTTCACAATTTGTGGATCTGAGACTAAGTCACTGCATTGATAATGTCACCATTATTGAATCAGTAAAAATATGAGCAGCAATAAACCAAAACTGTTTTTCTACTGAGAATCATCCGTTCATCCATTATCTTTACCCACCTTTTCCTTTCTGGGTCACGGGGGTCACTCATGCACATGTCTAGCAGTCACTGTGCAAGAATCAATTCAATCAAGTCACTGAGAATCAATTCTTTGCTGGTCCCGTTTGTTTATCATACCTCAAGAAGTGCTGGCCTCAATCTTAAAAAGATATTATATTTAAATGTGTATGAACAATAATGATCTAAAACAAAGGATTGGTTTCTTAAATCAGCCATTGGCTGACCTGATAAAAAAAAAAATCAGCAATGAAAAAGACTTAACTGGTTAACTTCTAGCTTTTATGTAAATATGTAGTTTTATGGGTGGAGTGGAAAGTCAGATTGTTTCCTTAACCCTTAACTCATTTGAAAAGTTTATTTTTTATGAATCGTTTTATTTTTTGTGCATTAGTGTGTTCTCACTTGAGCATTATTTTAAAGCAATGATGATTGTAATAGGTTTATAGTTTCAGAGAGGCTTTTATTTAACTTGTAAAATGACACCGCACAACAAAGTGATCCTTTATAGTCGATGCTAAAGCTAGAACGGTTCAGAGCTGAACTGATGTGTAAATTCTGAGTGGACAAAGGGGAGGAGAGCTATGGAGAGCAGAGGCGGGCAGTGATGGGTTGTTAGTCCAGCTTTTGGACGCGGAGGGCGCGGGCCGTCGGTATCTGCTGCTGGGGGTTTTAGGAATGCCACTCAAGCAAACAGGGAGCATTGTGCTGTGTTGTGTGGAGGGAGTTATAATGGCTGTGGAGGGAGAACGCAGCCATTGTTCTGCACAGAGCTCAGGGGACACTGGGACTCTTTTTATGGGGTCACTAAGGCTGCGTTGTAGGGATAGCAGGGCTGGGCTGCAGGGACACAGGGCCCAGTGTGCCCAGGAGGTCGCTCCGTGCCAGGGCCAGCCTTAGCTGCTGCAGCTGGACCCATCAGCCTCCCTCCCTCTACTTGTTCTGGGCTCATGTCACTCCAACATGGCTGCTCCCTGATCCGTTTCCAGACGCTTAACAAATGGAAATGAGTTTTTCACTTCTTGCACGCACATTCAAATGATTCATTCAGCAAAACAAAACTTAGTGTCTTTTTCACATCTTCTAAGTAAAAAAAGAAGATGGGATTTGTTAACAGGCTGAAGCTCAGTTCTGAGAAGCAGGTTTCATTAGAAACGTGGATCACTTCCATAAATGAAGTCCCCTCAGATGCAGTGCGCTGCTTCCAGGAACAGCAGCCCTGAGAGCCGTCGCTCTCATTTACATCACTCCCCGTCTCACTCAGACTCAACTCATTAGCTTCATCACTTCCCTGCTTTTGTGTTTTAAGTTTCTGGTGACGCTTCATTTTCAGCATCATTTTTATAATTGACCAACAAAGACGAAGGTTTACAGACTCATTCAAACAAAAACCATTTGACACAAGGGTATTTATTAAATATTAATGATTGAGCAGGGAATAGGAAAATAAAACAGCCCTGAGCTTGTTTTTCAAAAGAATTGCAGTAAAATCAGTATTATGGTTAACACTCCAGTTCTGTCAGATGTCAATATAAGATTTTGATTACTCAGTAAAAGACAGTTTGGTCATTAAATACAACAATTAGCTGGTCTTTGTAGTAAAAACAATAATGTGCTGGGTTGTATATCTTGCAGTACATAAAATTAAGTGGTTTTATTGCAATAATCATTTTTTCTGTTTTAAAAATTCTACCTGTATTTCCTACAGAATAGCATCAGTTTGTTGAAACGAGTTGTGTTGGAGCAACAATCAACACATAAACACGCCTAAAGTCTGAGTTTTCCCTGTTAGTCTTATGATGGTCCCGGTCCCTGTCTGGAGCCCAACATCCAATATGCGTCAATATAATGGTTCTGAAAACGATAAACTTCAATATTCAAGTTCAAGGTTCTCGATTGTCATTTGCATCACATGTGGTACATGAGGTGGAACAAAATTGTGTACTCAAGGTCGCAGTTGCACCCAAAAATAGCAAAGATATAAAGTATAAAAAAGAAACGGTACATAAAGTATCTAAGTTATATACTAAACGCTAATAATGTAAAATAATACGGTATATTAAACAACAGCCCGAACATGAGTCTGTGGTGAGCAGATGGGTATGAATGAATACAGCAGCATGGATAATCAGGATAGATAAAGAATAAAAGATAAAGAATCAGGATGGATAATTATTTTAGTAATAAACCTCTGTTATTTTTAGATTTTGTATTTGGTGATGAACAAATGTAATATTGACAGAATATTCATTTTTTCAGATTGATTAAGGACATTTTCAGGTCTACAGATGAAACTGACTATTAGTTGTATTTCTATCACAAATACAATATCATTTAATTGCACACTCCTTTATAAATCAAGTATTACGCCATAACAAATCAGAGAGTTCAAATGAGAGGGGTTTAAAAACGAGAGAGGCTTCATTTTATACTCGAAAACAAATCTGTCAAATTCTTTGAGCTCATGATTTGATTGGTTTATTTAAAAGAGGTACAGTTTGTTTAAAGTGGAGGTGAGTCTTTCAAGCAAAAATAGTTTTTATATCTGATGGAACAGAGACTCTGGGGATTGACTTGCATGTGTTTGCTCATTCTGCCAGACATTTGTTTCATTTGATCAGTTTTTAACGGATCAGTGTGGAACTTGTAGCTCACCCATACTTTTAGTTTCCACTTGTCAATTCCTTCAAAATAAAACTGCAATGACGGAAACAGATGAGGATAATTAGATTTTTTTTAGTTATATAAATCATCAAACAAGTAATCTAAAAGTTGTTTGTTGGGGAAACATGGATCACATCGAGCTCGTGTTAGCAGCTTATTATTAATCAATATTAATTTAATTAGCCGCTTATTAAAACAATGGTTGCATTACTTCTTGAATTTTTACATTTTAAAGGCTTGTCAAATGCTTGAAAAACACTCAACATCCCAGACAGAAAGCAACAAACAAAAGCGAAATGTTCCCGAGTTAGCCAAGAAGTAATTTTTATCAGTAAATATTATATTTTTTAATTGATTCCCACACTTTTCCTGCAAACTGGAGGCTGTATTTGTCGTTGTCCTCTAATTTTGTCATTTCATTTAGCGTCAGTAGCTGAATTCTCTATCAACGATGGTTCAGCTTCAAACTATTCAATTTTTTACCTTCTCCTGTTTGTTTGTAAATTTGTTCTGCACATAACTTGTGTGAAATAAGCCGTAGCCATTCACTGCTGGAATATGGCAGCAAAGTAAAGCACAAAGCTTGTTCATTGGAAATGTAAATTATGTTTTCTATTTATTTTAAGGGACATATTGTGAATTAAATATTATCTCAGGAGTGTTTTTAATGAGGAGGAATCAAACAACTGTGTTTTGTAAGAGTGCAGCTTAAATGTTACTTTACTGTGTTTTCTCCTCCTGTAGGATTTTGAGGCGTGGGTGAACGACACGGCGGAGCATGGCTTCGTGGTCGTGTCGTTCGGAGCTGGAGTCAAGTACCTCTCACAGGACATCGCTCAGAAGCTGGCAGGAGCCCTGGGCAGGCTGCCGCAGCGTGTCATCTGGAGGTAAAACTCACGCATGCATGGAGCCTTATCTGTATTCTCAGCACTTCGTCTCACGTGACCTGGACCCCATAAAGTTTTACTGCAAGCAAAGAACACGGGAGGCTGAGGTCAGAGTCCAGCCCAGTCCTCCTGTACTAAAACATCTTTCATGTCCAGAGGCCTATATAAGCAAAATGTGAAGAAAAAAAAAAATTTAATTACTGTGGAAAAGTTCCAAACATAGTTTAGCTCATTATCAACATACTTTTTTATGCTTGTTGCACAAAAACGTTGAGGTTTTGAAACCACAGTGACATGAGGCAAGAGATTCTTAGAAGATTCAAACAGTTCTCTTTTATTAACCAGAGAAATGTCACTTCCTGTGAAAATGTGGTGGCAGTGTTGGTTGCTGAAAGCTGCTGAACAAACTAAAGCTTACCTAAAATATACTAGTACTGTGGCTGAAAAGAAAGAAAGGCTGAAAGGTGCACAAAACCCTTGAAATGATCAAAAAAGTAGCTGAAAGAAGATTAAAAAAGCTAAAAGAAGCTAAAATTTGCAGAAAAAGCTGAAAGGAGTATTAAAAAAAAAAAACCAAATTAGCAGAAAAAGTCAAAAGGACACCCCCCCATATTAAACATTAGAAGAAAGAAGCTTAACAAAACGCAAAATGGCTACAATTAACAGAAAATCAGCTAAAAGTGGCTGATAAAAGGCACCGAAAGCAGAGGTAGGCAGAAAAAAGCTGAAAAGATCTAATAAAAGCTGAAATTAGCTGAAAAGGAGCCAAAAAGATAAAATGAGAAAAAAATAGCAAAACTGTTGCTGAGAAAGCAGAAAGAAGCACAAAGACAAAAAGCTAAATTGAGCAGAAATGAGCAGGAAAAATGCTTAAATATGTAGAAAAAGCTGAAATGAGCAGAAAGAAGCTAAAAGGAGCTGAAGGAAGCTGAAAATAGCCAAAACCACTGAAGCAGAAGAAAAGCTGAAGTGAGCAGTAAAAGGTTGAAAGGGTATGAAGGATGTGGAGAGCTCCTTTCATTTCATGAGAAAAACATGGTAACGAAGGTAAATACTGCAAAAAGTCAAAATGACCAAAAGTCACAGCAGGAATGTCGTGAATGAGCCGAACGTTTTGATACATGAATTGTTGAAATAGCACAAAAATTGCAGAATGAGTTAAGACGCCATAAAACGTACGGAAGAGATATGGATCTGAATATTGTGAATGATTTAGAAACATTCAGCATTCATGGAGCCACAAAGCAGGACAGCAAATTAATAAAACATAAAAGAAACAACATACATCTTTGAACCGGTTAATCTTTAACTTTGTTTTTATTTGTTTTTTTAAACAGATTAATCAAACTCTGGGGCTGTGATTAATCTGATTAATCACTATGCTTAACTTTGTAAGCTTGAAATGTAAATATGCAGGTTTTGTCATGATCAGCGGCCCCCGCCCGCCCCCCATCTGCTCACGTCTCTGCCCCTTCATGACATGCACGTTTTTACTCACTCCTGCCAGTTTCCTCCACCTCCTGACTCCTCCATCCAGCAGCTACTAATAAAAACTCTTCTTGTTTGAACTCCTGTGTCTGGCTTATACTGAATCCAAAACCCCCTTCTGACAGGTTTTCATAAAAAGTTGAAGAAAATGTTTTTTTGTGTCAAACCAAACGGTTTTCCAGGTTTTCAGACTCAGCAAGTCATTTTGTTTCAAACATTAATTTATAAATGTTAACTCAAATGTCTCATGTGTCATCTATGTGATCAAAACATGTAACCCTTCTTCTGATAAGCTATAAGATTTTTTGTTTCACCAAATAGACATACAAAAAACGAATAGCCTAAAAAATCATCTATAAAGACGGGCTATTGCACAGATGAACAAAAATATTTTAGAGCAATCTGAGCTTAACGTGGCTTTTTCTTTAAACCGGCCGGTCGGACCTGCCTCCTCCTCAACAAGTAGCTTAACTCAATTTTATATTGTGCATACTTATTTAGTTTTCTTTGTGCTATGATTCGTAAAAACACATCGTAGAAGTCCGAGGCCACGTGCGCAATTGTTGTGCAATGCACCAGCGGCAGCAATCTCTTCACAGTCCGATTAACTGCTGCACTCTTCTTTCTTTCTTCATCCTCTCAACATATAAACCTACTGCCTCCTCCTCTACAAGTTGATTAACACTTTTATATTGTGCTTTCTTATTATTTGTGTTGTATGATTTGTAAAACTGCATCAAAACCCGAGATCGGACAGTCTCCATCCCTTCTCGTGTCACATACAGCAGAAAACAAAGTTCTGACTGGACAACATAAACCTGACTTTTATCAAATTTTCTGAAAATGTTTTATAGACTTTTATTTTTAGACAAGTGTTTATGATGTTCAGAGCCAAAAATATGGTGTCGTCATCGTTCCCCAAAACCTGACCTGTGACTCATTAAATAAAGTTTCAGAATTTACACGAAGGTTTAAATTTAAAGCATGTGTTGTTAATAACAAAGTGGAGATTGAGTCCTGTTGGCAACTTGTTTTTCTTGCTCTTGGCTCCGTTTCAACTACAAAACACATTTCTAGGATCTACTCTTGCGTCCTCGTTGACACTTCTTTCTCGATGACTTTAGGTTCAGAATATGATGAATACAAACAAAAAGTCAAGCAAAATACAGTTCTGTAGTTCAGTTTTTGAACAAACTGCACTGTTGGCTTGAAAAATGGATGATTCTGTTGGAATTGTGTGTAGGCAGGACACGAGACAGAAACTAGAGCAGAAAATTCATCTGTTTGTTTCATCCATCCATCCGTTATCTGTTCCTCTTCATATCAAATGTGCTGAAAATGGGAAAACTGAACACGCTGATTTACAATCTAATTAAATCCAGATCTAATTAACAATAGAGATTAAGTACACAATAACGAAAAAACACTGTAAGTGTTAAATAAGATCATTTTTGAAACAGGACTTTTTGTCCCCTTCATGCAGCTTAGAGGGCACTGAAATACAGTCCGTCCATCTTGTGAGCTAGATAACTTGAAAAATAAGTGAGGTGCAAACTTCTATTTTGGTGCGTGGTTGCATAAGAAAGGTTGCTATCAAAAATTGGGTTGCCACATCAAAATCCAACATGGCCACCACCATATTTATATGTAAACGGGCCACCTCAATCATTTGAGGAAACTATGCTGTCTAGGTTTTTTAATGCTTAAAATTATAACTTCCTTCAAATGATTTGGGTGGCAGAAGATTAATCTATGGTGGCCATGGCCACCATTTGCCACCCCCTGGCTCCTCCACTGCACCTGGTTGTGGATTTAAAAAACAACAACACTCATTTCAAAAACTACAATTATTCACTATTCAAATCCCTCAGCAACTGAGGACGTCAGCGTACCGCTGTTTTATCTACCTTTTTCTTGCACTTTTACAAAAAATGTATATATATATATATATTTAGATGTTCCACAATCAGTTATTATAAATAATAAATATTAAACACAACAAAGGCAATATGATTTAATTTACAGTTTCACCATTTGGCAAGTTATGAGTTCATTTATATTTTGTGCTCGAATTTCTTGCAAATATTTAGTCTTCACATAAATGTTTCAAACAAAACTCCCGTTTTCTTGGAAGCTGAGTTTTACTGGTCGACTAAAGAAAAGCTGATATAGCAGAGGGGCTTAGTGTCATAAAGATGACGTAGAGAAGACAGTTTTATGGTGGCCTAAAAGAGAAATACCACTGCTTAATGGAATATAAAACATTTTATTGCAAGAAGTAAGCATTCCCATGGTAGGCCTGTTTACTCAGTAAAGCCTCACGTCGACACATGGATTAGACGTGACTTCGTCAACTCACGGGTAATTTATGCGTTAACTACTTCCTGTTAATTTTATTAGCTGTGTGGTATAAAGAGCACAAAGCCAGGGCTTGGTATAATAACTCTCATTGTACAGTTTCACATCAGTGAGCCGCAGGTGGACTTATGAAGGCAACGCCCATGACTTTGAATGGTTATCTAGTTTTCAGTTGTTCTTCTTAACTTGGAGAGGAAGAGGAAGAGGACTGATGGGAGGGACAGGGAGCCAGTCACATGAAATGTGTCATTGATGAATACCACCATGAATGTGGGCTTTGACTGGCAGGACAATGAAGCAAGGCTTTGTCTACTGCAGATAAGAGTTCGAGTTGTGGAGGGCAGCAGACACAAATGGACAGATGGAGGTTGTTATGTATCGTGAATATGCATCGTTAGCGGAAATGCTTCTCACACACTCGGCTACATACACGGTGACAAGTCTAACACTGGGCCGTCCGGTTTGTTTTCTGAGACACGAACAGCTCCAGGTTAATTTTGCTTTGGTCACTTGGTACTTTTAGTTGTTGGATCCAAAAAGAAGCTGTGATTTTCTGCTTCATACACACGTTAACAGCAGCACCAACACTGGTTTGATCCACTGGAGGACACTATTGATTCTTTCATTCAACCTTTATTTATACAGGTTAGTCTCATTGAGTTACGAGGACTCGTCTATAAGAGAGACCTGTTAAAGATTAAGACTATTAAAAATATGATAAGCAAATTTGGACCAGTTTTATTTTTGCTTTTATTAACACTGGTGTGGTAAGGTGTTTTGGGACTGCAGCTCTGGATGTTTTCTGAACAGCCTCAGATCTAAAGTAAAAACACATTTTATTTAAATGCAACTCTATTCAAGTTATCCAGTGAACACCTAAAAGAAAAATATTTATAATTTTTTGCATACAAGTGCTAGGATTCTTGGGGAAATAATGGACATGCTGATTCACTGCACTTGCAGTCCTGGACACCTGAAGGCATCACAGATCTGACGTTTATGTATTGTTTGTTTCACGCACCCAGGAAGACGAGCCTCGAGTGGGTTTTTTGTTCTGGTGTCTCGCACTCAGCAAGTGCTGAGTGTGATGTGCTCTGAGGACCGTGACAGGTGGGGAGTTTGACCCAGGGTGGCACACCTGTCACACAGGACAG